AATGGGGAAGCCAGATTCACTTAACAACCGTGTTAGTAATTTAACAATGGCAGTGATTCGCTTAACAAATGCGGTAAGAAAAATCATAAAATGAGACAAAACTGAAAATTTGGGGTCAATTGTGGTCGTTAAGTCGAGGACTACCTGTAATCAGAAACTGCAGCTAAGAGGCTGTTGTTTTGCCCCGGCAACAAACTTCCATATGACATAGCATGGAACTGTTACAACATCTGGCACAACCTACCTCAAATCTAGAAGAGAGATTTTGTCGCTTTAATTAGAGTAACTCTATTTTTAACAAATGAACGCCAGAGAGAGCCAATACTCAGTGTGGCAGTTTGGTTTACTGATTTATTCATGTGCATGTGGAGGTCAGCTACAAAAATTAATGTCCCTGAACTCCCAGGAAAACTGAAGGGACCCCAAATTAAACCATTTCCCATAGTTTATGTTTCATGTGACGGGTAAAGGTCTCAGAGTTAGCTTCGCTCCACAGAAAAAAAAAAGCATGGGATGGGATAAATGAGGAATAGTTTCTTAGCTGCAATGCCAATGACAGCATGCAGGCTAACTCATAATTGCCTTGTCAGTTTTACTGAGGAGCGAATTGAACTGGGAATAAAACAAATCCAATTTAAGGAACATAGGTGGGCTTAGTAAAAGCATAATGACAGCAATTGTCTCCTCATATTTGTTCCTTAAGTAGGAAGTAATGCTCACAATTGCAGTGAGGACAACCCCCCTCCCACAAGCCTCCACATAGGCTTGTTTGAACCTGAAAATACTAGGAATTACTACAATCACCCTGTTTCTATTGAAAGCAGAACAGAAATAACAGTAGAATAATCCTTTACAATATTCTCATGTCTGGCCAGCTCCCAGATCTTCTGGCTGTTTTAAGTAGTCACACAAGAGAAAGGCAGAGAAATCTCATCAAGATATTTTATACTTTATTTTTTAGAATCAATGAATGTTCTTATTTTTAAAAAAAATATCAAAAATACAACAAAGCCATCCACAATTGTTATACATTATCCCGCTGACACAGATTTCAGAAGGATCCAATGTAAAAAACAACTCTTACCAAAGGTGGCAAAGCAGAAATATCAGAGATGCATGCAATTGCATCTTTAATATCTCTTGTATCCTCATCCCATCACTGCCATATTTTTAACAAGGCTTGCAGATGGACTATTTTCAGTTCCTTTTTTTTAAAAAAAGAAGGAATTTCACAATCAGAAAAAAAAAGAGAAACAGCAGAAGCCAATATTGATGTGTTCAGGTAATTAAGGCAAAATGTGACATATATGCTCATATCTTAGTCTAAACCAGACACACAAGAGGCAGATCCACAAATAAACCAAGCCAGTATGTCACTTTTTTGTTTGGCAATCTAGCTGCTGAGGGCAATTCTTAGTGACTCCAAGCAAATGATACCGAGGAAGGCTAGCAAAGCAAAGGGCAGGCAGGCAACAACAGTTATATACAAATCTGGAGCAGTTTGAAAGGTGACTGTCACAACAGCATTAACAACAACTGTATCTAATCATAGAGCAGAAGTTATGAGCTCTTTTCTTATCCTACTCTCTCCACATTGGGGATCATACAGATTTTTAATTATTATATAGAAATTCAATTTCCATATTCTTCCTCTAATATTTTCACTGTTGGGCACAGAGGATCTGAGGACGTCGATTGCTCTCAATCTTGCCCATTCCAGTTTTTGAGGTGACTGGCAGTAGCCCCAAGGCTTGGTTTCACTGGTCTTATTGACATGCTTATAGTGACATTTTTTATTTCCTCAATCCTCATCTTCCTCAATTCGCAGGCACTTCCTCTTACTGGAGGGACGTGGTCCATCCTCATCACTGGAATCTGTAGTGTGAAAGTCAAATGTGAAAATAAGGATAGGTAAAAAGTGGTGCTGGGAATAATTGCTGTCACTTATTCATATATTCCAATATCGTAAAGCTTATTGAAGGGAAGATGCTGGCACAGAGCACAATTAAAACCAGGATTCAACTATGAGAAATTTGAGAGAGTAGGCTTCTTAAGAAAGGTATTTCAGGTAGCAAAATGTATGACTAACTTTGTTCTATGTTTGGAGGCAGAGCTTATGCAAACGGAACAAGTGTATGGCTACGTGGACCCAAATAATGGCTAAAAGCCCACTTTCAGCCTCAAAGTCGGATACATCTTATGCTGACCGATAATTTTTACTCTTCTTGGTAACATCAAGTAAATGACAAATAACACAAGATGCAAATGCAGCTGGAAGAAAAGCTGGCAACAGAAAATCTTAAAACAATTACCGACATAAATTATAAACAGAAAATGTCTTTTATTTATTGTTTTAATGTTTTATATTGCTGTTAAAAACCACCCAGAGTTGCTTGATAGTGACGTGGGCCGCATATACATTTAATAATAAATAAAGATCAAGATGTCACTTATAGCTCAATTAGGGCACAGCAAATGTTCTCTTAAACCAGCATTATGTTTAATCCAACTTAACAAATCGCAAACATTACATTTGTAGCTTGTAGAACTTGTGACAGGAAAATAGGCTATGCATGACTTCAGGTGTTTGGCATTTTTTTTTAGATCAGAAAGCTCAAACTGCCCAAGGAGCTGCTGATACAGTTCTACAGAAGAATTATTTAGTCTATCATCTGCACCTCTATAACTGTCTGGTTTGGTTCTGCAACCCAACAGGACAGACACAGACTCCAGAGAGTAATTGGGACTGCAGAAAAAACAACCTGCCTTCAATCAAGGACCTGTTTACTGCATGAGTCAAAAAGAAGGCTGTGAAAATATTTATAGACCCCCTCACATCCCGGACATAAACTGTTTCAACTCCTTCCCTCAAAACGATGCTATAGAGCACTGCACACTAGAACAACTAGACACAAGAACAGTTTTTCCCCGAAAGCCATCACTCTGCTAAACAAATAATTCCCTCTGTTCAACTATTACAAAGTCTGCACTACTATTACTCTTAATCTTCTCATCACTCCTTATCACCCATCCCCTCCCACTTGTGATTGTAGGACTGTAACTTTGTTGCTTGTATCCTTACCATTTATATTGATTGTTCCCTAGTATGATTTGATTGCTGATTGTACCCTATGACTATTATTAAGTGTTGTACCTTTATGATTCTTGATTCTTAATGAATGTATCTTCTTTTATGTATACTGAGAGTATTTACACCAAGACAAATTCCTTGTGTGTCCAATCACACTTGGCCAATAAAGAATTCTATTCTATTCTATTCTATTCTATTCTATTCTATTCTATTCTATTCTATTCTATTCTATTCTATTCTATTCTA